GGTGCAGGACCCCGGAGCAGGAGGGGCGGGGGGGCGGGGGGGGACTCTGCTCAGTTTACTGTGGCTTCTTAAATAAAAAACTAGAACCTGGAGGTGATGGTGTGAGATGGGAAGGGGGTTACGTTCAGCCACAGGCGCGAGGGCCCCGGGATGTCAACGGCTCACCCCAGGCGCGGCAGGTTCTAGCTCTCCTCGAGTCCTGCCAGCAGCACGGAGAGACAGGTCTTATACTTGTTAACCCATTTTATGGATGAGAGAATGGAGGCCCAGAGACGGGAGGTCCATGCTCAGGACCACACAGCTGTGAACTCTGGAGCTGGAATTTGGATGCAAGACTGCATCCAGACTGGTGCCTTTTATATTCTTTAAATTTGGTGAAATGTCACCCTACACTCCGCAACTCTTTGGTGCAGAGCAAAACAAAAGGGCCCACAGTGACTGAGCTGAATGCAAACAGGCTCTTCAAGCGACCTGCCCCAAAACAGCCAGAGGCCCTCGCCGACCAGTCACAACCCCGCACAGTTCCTCAGCTTACCAAAAATGGGAAAATTCCACCCACCCCCAGGGTCCCTCACTCCGCCCTATGACCGCGGCCCCTCAACACCTCACCTCGTAGAAGAGAGTCTCTCTTGGGGCACCTGGATGGCTTAGTTGGTTAAGCGTCTGACTTTCGCTTAGGTCATGATCTCGCAGTTCGTGGGTTCGAGCCCCGCGTCGGGCTCTGTGCTGACTGCCAGCTCAGAGCCTGGAGCCTGTTTCAGTCTGTGACTCCCTCTCTCTCTGACCCTCCCCTGCTCACGCTGTCTCTCTCTCTCTCCTAGAAATAAATAAAACATTAAAAAAAAAAAAAAAGAGAGTCTCTCTTTTGCTGTCCTGCCCACTGCAGTATTCAATAAATTCTTAATAAACTGCAGTGTCTTCAACAAACTCTTATCTCTTTGGTTCTGCTTTGGGTGAATTCTTTCACTTCCTGCGCCGCCGGCCTCCACCTCATCAGAGCACCCCACATTTGGTGCCCCCCATTCCGATAGGGACACCCCACATTTAGGTTTGGCGACTCACTGTGCAAACTGTTTTATGTCTGTAATCGTGGACACACATGTGCGCAGATGAAGTACAAGTGCAGAGCAGTGGTACCTGTCTGCTCAGGGGAAATACAAGCAACTCCATCTACCCGAATTATAAGAATTTTTTCTTTGATATACAAATTGCTACCAGGTAAAAAAAAAGCTTCCGTTTAAGATAAGGCATACCTCATTTTTCAAGGAATTCTTCATTAAAGCCAGGAGTGAATAATATGCTAGAATCAAAATACTCAGTTCCTTGATATCTGGTGAGTTTTTTAAATGAGTTTTTTAAGGCTAAATATGTGGAAATTTATAACAGAGTTCAAAATCATGAATTAAAATGTCTAAACAGTGTTAGGAAAACGGGCTAGCCTTATTTAAAAAAAACAGAAACAAATAAGGGTGAATCTTTGTTTCATTCTGTACTTCAAAATATAGAATAAACCAAAGGTTAAAACGTAATAGAAAGACCATAAAAGCACTAAAATAAAACACAGGCAAATGCTTTTGTAATCATAAAAGGGGAGAGGCTTGACATGCCTCCTAGACACTTATTATATAGTAAAAGGTTCTAATGATCTGAACCAGGTAAAATATAAAACATAAAATAGAAAGGAAAAATGATTACCAGAAATAAGATAAATGAAAACCTGGAGGGAAGAATATTGCCCACAAATGATAAAGTGTTACTATCTCTATTATGAAAGATTTGATTTCACAAATCAATGTGAAAAAAAAATCAGAGATAAATGGGCAAAAAGCACCAATAGGGAATTTATATATAATAAATTCACAATAATATGCGAAAAGATAGTCATGGTAAGTGTAAGAACATAGCAAGTACAGACATCATTTGGGAATGAGACATCATTTTTTCCCACTTACTGGACTGAAAAATTAAAAGTCTGATAATATCCAGTGTTGGTAAGTATGTGGTGAAATAGGATGTCTTGCACATAACTGATGAGACCATAAGTCTCATCAAAATGAGAATATTTTGACGATATGTATCACAGAGCAAAATATCATATGCTCTGACCTTTTAATTCTATTTCTAGGAATTTACCCTTTGGGGGTAAATAGATTAGTGTGAAGGGGTTTACACACAGTGTTTGATTGCCACACTATGTATAATAGCAAATTAATATGGAAGCCACATAAATGTACATTAACAGAAGACTACTTAAGTAAATAGTTTTTTAAATGAGGATGTGTACTAGCAGTTGGCAAACTATGGCCTATGGGCCAACTCTGGCTGGTTTCCTGGTTTTTTATTGAATAAAATCTAAGCAGGTTTTTACATTTTAAATGGTTAACTACCTCTGTAATACCCTCTTGACCTCACAGTCAAAAATATTAATGATCTGCCCCTTTAAAAAAAAAAAATTGCCAGCCTCTGCATGTAGATCTCTATGTAGTGTTGTAGGAATTTTGGAATAAAAATGTAATTTATAGGGGCGCCTGGGTAGCTCAGTTAGCTAAGCATCCAACTTCAGCTCAGGTGCTCTCTGCTATCAGTGCAAAGCCTGCTTCAGAAACTCTGTCCCCTTCTCTCTCTGTCCCTCCCCTGCTCGTTCTCTCTCTCAAAAAATAAACATTTAAAAAATGTAACTTATAAAATCACAGCATGTGTCATATGATTCGATTTAGGTAAAATTAAATACGTATACCGTATGTGACTGCATGGAGAGATTCCTGAAATATATCCCCTGTATACTAATTATCACTATCTTTTGATGGTATAAAGATGTTTTAACCAACTGAGCCACCCAGGTGCCCCTTGGATGGTATAAAAGATGCTTTAAATTCTACTTTAAAAGGAGACCTAATTATATAGAAAGACATCATGTTCTTTCATGTTCAGCAGGGGGCCATCTATGCAGTAATTCAGAGACCAGCTGCTTCCCTCCTATGTCCCCACAATTATAAATTTTTGGCTCCCAAGGTTGTCAGAAAAGGAGACTAGAAAAGGCAGAGAAGGAGACCCACTTCTTAGCCCCATCAGGGGCAGCAGGACCCTTATCATTTCCCTTGGCATCCCACTGGTGAGAACTAGTCACATGACCACATCTTGGCACGGCATGCTGGGAAATGTAGTCTGAGGCTGGACAGCGGCTTCAAATCAATCCGTCTTCCCAACACTGCGGAAGGAAAGAAGGAATACTTGGGGGATAGCAAACTAAACCTGCCAAAGAATTTCCTAAGGAAAAGTACACGTGAGAATATCCAAGAGAGAAACAGGAGAAATAGAGGGAACTGGCTTTACCAGGTTCCAAGTAACAACAATTAAAATAGGTTCGATAGTTTAGGAGTGGAGTGGAAACAAATAGACAAGCCACTGGACTGAAGAGCCTAGGAAGAGCCACAGATATTTTTAGGAATTTAGTTTATGATAAAAATGAGGTTTCAAATCAGTGGGAGTACAAGGATAGTGGGACATTAGGTAACCTTTGGGGAAATAAAACAAAACTGGACCATTATCTCTTCTTTACAAAAAAAATAACTTCGGGGCTCCTGGGTGGTTCAGACTGTTAAGCGTCCGACTCTTGGTTTCAGGTCAGGTGGTGATAGGACAGTTGGGGGCAGTGAGCCCCGAGTCGGTCTCTGCGCTGCCAGCTGCCGAGCCTGCTTGGGATTCTGTCTCCCTCTCTCTCTCTGACCCTCCCCCGCTAGCTCACTCTCTCCCTCTCAAAATAAGTCAGTAAACGTTTTTTAAAAAACAAAATAAAGTAACTTTCAGACAGAGTAAAACTTTAGATGTAAAAAATCTAAAAGAATGTGGATTAATTAATTTTTACTATTGAAATGGGGACGCACGACCTTTCTGAGCAGGACACAAAACACATACCACGTACAGAAAAAGACCGACAATTTTGACAAGGCTGCAAAAGCAATCCAAAGGAGAAAGCTTTTTCAACAAATTATGGTGAAGTAGTTGGACATCCACAGGCAAAAATAAATAAATTAAATTTAAAAAAAAAGAACTTCAACCAAAGTCTCACATCTCATAAAAAGTGAATTCAAAATGGATCATAGACTTACATGTAAATTCTAAAACTATAAAACTTCTAGGAAAAAAACATAAGAGAATATCTTCAGGATCTAGAGCTAGGCAAGATAAAGAATTCTTAGATTTGGTACCAATTTTTGCTCTTCAAAAAATTCTGTAAGGGAATGAAGTAACAAATTTGGCCTGGGAGAAAATCTTTTCTTTTACTCTTTTTTAATGGAAACAGAGTCCCTTAAGCAGTTTATGCATATTTCTTCATTGTCCCCCCTCTATGGAGATTTTTCTAGACTTTTTTTCTTCCTAATCTCTCCTCCATCAAGTTTTAATGCCACAGACACACTAAATCTGTTCATGTACTTTGGCTCCTTGGAAGGGTTCAAACCACCCTCCAAGAAATAATTTTTGCCCCATTGGAAGCAGGATCACCTCCACTGGGAAGGGACGCCCAGCAAGGATCCTTGTGGGCCCCTGGGAAGTCTCCGTGACTCCAGAGGAAATGTGTGCCCCCTTTGAAGCCCCTTTGAAGCTCCTGCCAAGTGGCCATGCTCTCTCCTTGACCATCCAGACTCTCTGACAGCCAGAAACTCTCCTCCTGCCCTCTCCTCCCACCTCAACCCCGGATCCCCCTCACCTGGCACGTCCCTCACACCTCCCACAGCATTTCCTGGGCTTGCCACAAGATACTGAAATGGCCAAGTTCTTTATCAAGGCCATGGCTACATGGTTCTCTGCGAGTGCAGAGACCATGTCCGCTGGGTCCATGCCGCTCAGCACAGAATCGTTACTGAAAAAACCCATCAACCAAGGGTTGCCTTCTTCCCTGCAACCCTCACACCCCCACACTTGTATTGGTTAGCTACTGAAGGATAACCCAGTATCCTCAAACACGGTGACTTAAAACAATAACCATTCACAGAGCTCACGATTCTGCAAGTCGGCTGGGCAGTTCTTCTAGTCTGGGCCGGCTCGGTTGATGTCGTCTGCATTCTCCTGAACATCTGTGGTCCGCTGGTGTGTTGGCTGGGGCCGGAGTCTAGGGAGGGCCTCGTCTCGGACAGCTCATCTCTGCTCCACGTGGTCTTCCCATCCCACAGGCCAGCTGGGGCTTATTCACACCTTGGTCACCACACGGTTCCCCAGCAGTGAGAACAGGAGAACCTCAGTGGCAAGCACCTCCAAGTTGATGCCCGTGTCTTGTTTCTTATTGTTCCATTGGCCAAAGCAAATCGCATGGCCATTCCTGATTCAAGCTGCAGAGGGAGACTATGGAAGACTTTATGGCCATTCCTTGGGATCTGCCACACCTCACCACCAGCACCAAAGCCAAAAGCTGCTGCCCTTTGTGACTCTTTCTCACCTTGGTTTCCTGCAGTCTTCCTGCCCGCATGATTTCCCCAGGAAATCCCAAGAGCCCCACTTCCTCTCAACCTTCAAGGACCACCTCCACCTCCCTCAGTGGGTCCCATCTCCTTACATCTCTAAATGCTTCCCCCCTGCAAGCCTTGATCCACCCTCGGGGCTCAGACCTCCTGCACTCAAACTCAGCCACAATTGGGAAACAATGGGTGGGTAAAACCAGAACAATGAGCCTTACCTGAGTTCCCAAGAGTTCTCCCAGGTCACTTTATTACTCAATCACTGAGTTTAACAAGTTCTCTGTTTGCAGACAGAGCAAGATGATTTCTCTGAGCTTAGCAAGGTTTTGAATCTCCTTTCCTATCTTCCTTTCTCTCTGGGGACTCACCAGCCACTGTGGGTTGGCCTTGAGAGGTGCCTCACTTGGAATGGTACCATATTATTGCAAGAGTTGTTGCTACTGGACGTATCTTTGTCCCCCCTCTTGTGTTGATCTTTAAGTAAGAGCCTACCAGGTATCACCATATTCATAACCTACTGAGCTGACCATCATTAATGATAGTAACTGAGTCCCCCACATCTGAATTCCAAAGATGTTTACCCAGAGTAGCTATAAATCAAATACCTTGATAAGGTAGGATTACATCATCTTTCACACCATCACTACTGAGTCATTAGAGCACTCAGCACCGTAATTATATTAGTTTATTTATTTGTTCATCCGCTTCACTGTCTCTCAGTGTCTGCATAGAAGGTGCTTGATAAATACTTGTGGAATGAATAAAAACGATGACAAGCTCAGGGAGCAATCATGAAGAAAACAAAGAAGGTGCCGAGTTACAGCAACAGGGGAAATTTACACAGGGTGAGCAGGGGAGAGCTTTTCTAAGGAGCTGATGTTTCAACTAAGCCTTAAGGGGTAAGGCTGAGTCAGGAAAGGGAACGGCAGGTGCGTAGGCCAGCAGAGGCAGAGTTTGGGCAGGTTAAAGAGAAGAAAGAAGGCAGGGCTAGAAGAAGTGTCACGGGCAGGAGGAGAGTGGCACAGAATGACTAGGAGACGTGAGGAGGGACCAGCCTACATAGAGGCTTGGGGCTTGTGAGCCGTGGGAAGGAGATGGACTTCATTCCAAAGGGAAGAGGAGGTCTTGGGAGTTTTAGGTGAGGGTTTGAATGGCCCATTTTCTATTTGAGGCAGCTGTTTTGGAATGAAGCTCTCCCCATTGTACAGACTCTTATACTCTCTTATGAAGACCTTAGCCCCTCCCCCTGGGTGGCTTTTAAAAACATTTGGATCTGGACCACTCAGTCAATGAACGTCCAGGTCTTCTTCTTTTTTTTTTTTTTTTAAATATTTTTATTTTATTTATTTCTAGGAGAGAGAGAGAGCATGAGCAGGGGAGGGTCAGAGAGAGAGGGAGACACAGACTCTGAAACAGGCTCCAGGCTCTGAGCTGGCAGTCAGCACAGAGCCCGACGCGGGGCTCGAACCCACGAACCGCGAGATCATGACCCAAGCGAAAGTCGGACGCTTAACCGACTAAGCCACCCAGGCGCCCCTGAATGTCCAGGTCTTCTGACCTCAAACTCCCTGTCGGGGAATCTTGCATAAAGTGTTCAGCTTTCAGACACAATGTCGAGGCATATGAGTTCTGAAGGCCATTCACTATCCCCAGATTTTCTAATTTCTACTCTGGAATTAATCTAGTGTTCCAGAGATAGATAAGTGGACTGTGTGGTTTTGGCCTTATGGAATTTCACTTTGACATTAAGGCACAGGCTTGTGTCAGAGGGTCCCTAGGGCAGCCGCTCCGCAGACCGGCCCCCAGCATTCACAGACATCCCACCGAGGATGACCAGGAGAAGCTTCTCAGGGCTTTACATAGGAAGGGGTGTGTCTCTCTGGAGCATGAGGCTGGATGTGACTGCTAGCATGTTTCCATCCCTGTGAGGACTCAGGGGAGTCAGATTTGCAGCCCAGAAGTACCTGTGTCAACAATAAAATATGCACATCTGGGGCACCTGGGTGGCTCAGTTGTTTGAGGGCCTGACTTCAGCTCAGGTCATGATTTCGCAGTCCATAGGTTCGAGCCCCACGTCAGGCTCTGTGCTGACAGCTCAGAGCCTGGAACCTACTTCGGATTCTGTGTCTGTGTCTCCCTCTCTCTCTCTGCCCCTCCCCTACTTACATTCTGTCTCTGTCTCACTCTCAAAAATAAAATAAACATTTTAAAAAAATGCACATCTGAGAGCCTTTTTAAAAAATTTATGTTCCACTCCTCTAACTATTAATTTTTGCCTTTTGTGATGATGGAGTTTTATTAGCCATCTCAATCCCTTCTGTGGAACAAGGAGGGATATAAAAAAGTAAACCAAACTGAAAATAGTTTACCCACAGCAGACATTTTATACAAACCATCTATACCTCCCCCTCCAAAAAAGTAAAAAAACCCTGAAATGAAAATAGTTTGATTTTTCTTTGAACTATGTAAATGTTGTGATATTATGTAAACACATTCTCTGTGCACTAGAGCAAACACAATCAAAAGGACTCCACATTGGGTGGCTGGTGACCTAAAAGCTTTCCAATTTCTTTCTCTCTTGCCCATCTGGGATTCTCACAAAAGCCAGAAATCCAGATATTCTATTTCCCAGACCCTCTTGCAAGTACACCAAGCTCCAGGGTGGCCAGATTTAGCAAGTAAAAATAGGGGACAGCCAGGTCACTGTGAGGTTCAGATAAGCAACATACAACTTTTTTAGTATAAATATGTTTGACATTCCATGGGACATACTTATACTTTAACAATTCTTTGTTGCTTGCCTGAAGTTCACGTTTCGTTAGGCACCCTGCATCTTCTTTGACAATGCTATTCAGTTTCCGCCATGAGATATGGGGAAGATATATTGGGGCACATTTGGGAATAATTTCATTCTGAATAAAAGGACGGACACCTCTGAAGAGAGAAGACTCATCTTTCTTGCTACCACGAATGGGGCTGTGATGCGTGGCAGTCTAGCAGCTAGTTTATGATCATAAGATAACAAACAAAAGACTGAGAGTCAACATCGTAATGAAGATAGAGCACAGAGCAAACTGAGGTCCTTAATGATATTCTCCAATGTTTTATTACTGAAATTGAAAGCATTCTAGATACCCCCCGATGTTTTGGTTTTTTGTTTGTTTTTTAGGGGGGGCTGTTTCATTTTTGGGTTTTTTTTAGCCATTTCTGCTACTAAATATTCACAAGCCTGAGAACTCTGAGATTTTGGTTTCTCCAATTCTTCATCAAAAAGTGATGAACAGGGTCACTCTTCATCACTGACATCTAGAACGGGCCAAAAATGGGAAACAAGCCAATCTGATAAATCTGGAAATTTATCAGGAACAAATAAAGGAGGAAATGAGGCAGCAAGGGAACCACACCCTCCGGCCATGGGGACAGTAGGGGGTTTCTATGTGCTGTTTAGGCCGCGGGTGGAGGGAATACATACAATGTAACAGTCAAAAGTTCACATTTTAGAGCTGACCTGCCTGGCTTCAAATCTACTTCCATCATTGATTGGCTATATGCCTTTGGATAAATTACCAAAACTCCAGTTGCCCTTATTTCTTCATCTAAGATGAGGATGAAAACAGAACGTGACATAGAGGTGTCCCAAGGACAGGATGAGTTAATGCAAGTAAAGCAATTAGAAACACAAATATATAATCAAGTTAGTGGTCACAGGCATCACACAGGCATGCTTCCTCGCACATGCTAGTCATTTGGCCTAGGGTGCTCTTCCCTCACCTCTTCGTATGACATTTCCTGGGGGAAGCTTCCCCAACCCAGCTGCAATGGCCACTTCAGTTACGTGAAACCATGGCTTTCCCATATGTTCGCTATGCTTTTCAGCAAGTCAAGGTCAACTGTCTTCTCAAGAATGGAAGCTCCACCCACATGTCACGTCTGTCCTGCTCATCTTTTGCTGAATATAGTAATAAGAGAATGATGGGAGGAAGAAAGGGACAAGGAGGTCTGCATTGTGGAAATGCAAGGAGTGAGCCGACAGCTTTAGAGAAGGCCCAGCGTTGAGGGTCAGCAAGGGAATAAGACTACGAACACAGGGCTCCACCCCGGAGCCCTCTCCTGGCCGCATAAGAGCTTGATGTTAAGCTGTTAGGAAAGAGGGAGCCTAACAGCCTTTGACTGTGGGAGTCACGTGCTCGGGGCCATAGAGGACAGGCTCTTGCCGGAATACAGTGGTGCATACAGGGGTGCGGAGGTTGAGAACAAAAGCTTCCAGGCGTCACAGTAGCGGCTGGGCAAGGGAGATGGACATGAGAACTCACCTTGCTTGAAAGAAAGCAACAAAACGTGGTGACCCAGTGGATGAGCAGAACAAGATCAAGCGGGCCGTCAGTGAGTCTGAGGACGCTGAGTGGAGTGGGGGTCTACTGGCGAAGAAGGCAGGGCCTCTCAGGAAGAGCTACGTAGGAGGGGGCAGGGATGTCACCATCTTTAGGAATGTTGAGTTTGGGGCGCCCAGGTGGCACAGTCAGTTAAGCATCTGACTTCGGCTCAGGTCATGATCTCACGGTCCGTGAGTTTGAGCCCTGCATCAGGCTCTGTGCTGACAGCTCACAGCCTGAAGCCTGCTTCGGATTCTGTGTCTCCCTCTCTCTCTACCCTTCCGCTGCTCATGTTCTATGTCTGTCTCTCTCTCTCAAAGATACCAAAAAAAAAAAAAAAAAATGAGTTTGAGGAGCTACTGAATCACCCAAGAGGACATGTAAGATACTTACCTGGAAAAGCAGTCTGTCCGGGAGGCACAGAGCTGGAGACAAGCTTTGGGAGTTAAAAGCTTATGGTGAGAACAACCAGACAGATCAAGATGGAAACTGAGGACTTGAACAGCACTGTGAACAAACAGGATCTAAGAGATATCTGCAAAACATTCTAGCCAATGACAGACTGCATGTTTTTCTTTTTAATGTTTTATTTGTATTTGAGAGAGAGAGAGACAGAGCAAGTGGGGGGTGGACAGAGAGAGGCGGAGACACAGAATCTGAAGCAGGCTCTGAGCTGTCAGTACAGAGCCCGACATGGGGCTTGAACCCATGAACCATGAGATCATGGCTTGAGCCGAAGTCGGATGTTTAATCCATGGAGCCACCCAGGCGCCCTGGACCGCATGTGTTTCTCAGGTGCGCACAGAACATTCTCCAGGATGGACTATATGTTAGGCTACAGAAATTAATCTTAATGAATTTTAAGAGGCTGGGATCATACAAAATGGCTTTTCCTATCACAAATGGAGTGACACTAGATATCACCAGTGGAAGGAAAATTGTTAAATTCACAAATATGTAGAAATTAAACAACACACTCTTAACCAATGCATCATGAAAGAAATCAAAAGGGAAAGTAGAAAATTCCTTTCTTTTAAAATTTTTATTTGAGAGAGAGAAAGAGAGAGAGAGCAAGCGAGCGCAGGGACAGAGAGAGACAGAAAGAGAGAATCCCAAGCAGGCTCCATGCTGTCAGTAGAGGGCCTGGCACAGGGCTTAATCCCACAAACCGTGAGATCATGACCTGAGCTGATGTCAGATGCCTAATTGACTGAGCCACTCAGGCGCCCCTCTTACAAGAGGTTTTAGGTGAGTGTGTGGGGGAAGGAAAGGGGCAGCGAGTGACAAGAATCCTGCAGAAAATGAGGTTCAAGTTCCAATCCAAAAAGCGGAAACACGCTTCCGAAAGCTGTCCCAGTGGGAAGATACACAGCAGGGAGGGGGCGTGAAGGCGACCTGGGTAGGATGCTCTGCCCGCTACACTTCCAGGAGGAACCGCAAGGTGCTGGGGCCACACCCCGCCACGCGGTGCTCCTCAGCTTCAGCATTTCCAATGTATCACCTCCATAATTTCTGTAAATTCTCTGTATTATTTCCCGAGGAATCGTCTCTAAATGGACTCCCCTGTAAAATGAAATTGGTGGGGGGTGCCTGCGTGGCAGAGCTGGTTAAGTGTCTAACTCTTGATTTCAGCTCAGGCTGTGGTCTCACGCTTCATGGGATCGAGCCCTGTGTCGGGCTCTGTGCTGATGGTGTGGAGTCTGCTTGGGAGTCTCCTTCTCCCTTTCTCTCTCCGTCCCTCCCTCACTCATATTGTCTCTCTCTTGAAATAAACTTAAAAATTTTTTTTTCATTTAACAAATTAAATGAAATTGGTAGGTACTTTAAGGGACATTTCATAACACAATGGTCATTACTAATGGTGTATCATTTGCCTTGAACAGCAGGTAATCCATAAAGATAAATTCTAGGGAAAAGAGAAGTATAATGAAAGCAAAGGAAGATGTTTTGAATTTTAGCCAGATTCTGTGGCTACCTCAGTTCGTGAAGTGCTAACACTCTGACCTTAACCTCTGATAAAAACCAAAACATTAGGAACAATCTACCACAGCACAAATGAAATGTGTCAAAAAGCAATACTCACCTTTTCTACTAGTAACATGCTGTGATATTTTCTAACCTATTCTGTATCTTTCTAATGTAGTGATTTTGATCCACTACATGGATTCACCATCCACTAATGGCTCGGTCCCACTGCTTCAAAACCACCAGATCAGTGAATGTTACATAAGTGTTAAGAATACACCAGTACCTGGGGCACCTGAGGGGCTCAGTTGGTTGGGCTTCTGACTTCGGCTCAGGTCATGATCTTGCAGTTTGTGAGTTTGAGGCCCCGTTGGGCTCTGTGCTGACAGCTCAGAGCCTGGTGCCTGCTTCAGATTCTGTCTCCCTCTGTCTCTGCCTCTCTCTGGCTTATGCTCTGTCTCTCTCTCAAAAATAAATAAAAACATTAAAAAAAATTTTTTTAACACACCAGTACCAACCTGAGAGCATCTTGAATTTTTTTTTTATTTATTTTTTTATTTTTTATTTATTTTTTTTTTTTTAAATTTTTTTTTTTAATGTTTTATTTCTAGGAGAGAGAGAGAGACAGCGTGAGCAGGGGAGGGTCAGAGAGAGAGGGAGTCACAGACTGAAACAGGCTCCAGGCTCTGAGCTGGCAGTCAGCACAGAGCCCGACGCGGGGCGCGAACCCACGAACCGCGAGATCATGACCTGAGCGAAAGTTGGACGCTTAACCGACTAAGCCACCCAGGCGCCCCTTGAATTTTTTTTTTAATGTTTATTCATTTTTTAAAAAAATATTTTATTTACTTTTGAGAGAGAGAGAGACAGCATGAGCAGGGGAGGGCCAGAGAGAGAGGGAGACACAGAATCTGAAGCAGGCTCCAGGCTCTGAGCTAGCTGTCAGCACAGAGCCTGATGCGGGGCTTGAACCCACAAACCGTGAGATCATGACCTGAGCCAAAGTTGGATGCTTAATTGACCGAGCCACCCAGGCACCCCATTCCCCTTGAATTTCTTAAGAAGACTCAAAGATCCCTAGCAAGGAGGTGACTTTCTCACGAGGTGGTTCTATGTCACGTCACACTGACGGGAAGGCTGTCCACAGTGGCTCTAGAACACTGACCTGTGGGAGGAGGGGTTGTTGTCTCCGAAGCACAGGGGACGGCCGTCCTGCATGGTCAGGCTCAGGTTCCCGGCCGCAGTCAACAGCCAGGAAGTTCAGCAGGGATGGACAGGCCTACTGCTTCCTGACGGGAAGCTTCCGGCGCCTAGTGCATCTGTACGACTGCGTCAGCATGCTGTGGCCGCCCTAACAAACCAGCACAAACTCCGTGGCCTCTAACGCCAGCATGCAGCTCGAGAGGCCAGAAAGTTGGATTCCCATTTCCCTGGGCCCAAGCTGTCAGCAGCGCTGGTTCCTTCTGGAGGCGCCAAGAATCTGCCTTCCTGCTCTTCCCAGCGTCGAGTGGCTGCCTATGTTGTCGGCCTCAGCCTTTCCCCATCTCCAACATGCCCTGCTCCTCTCTGGCTCCATCGTCACCCTTCCTTTCCCTCCCAGCCTCCCACCTTCCCTTGTACGGACACTGTGATTGCACTGGGCCTGCCTGGATACCCCTGGATAATCTCCCCACGTCAGTCAAGGTCCTTACCTTAATCACACCTGCAAACCCTTCGCCATATGAGGTAAGACATTCATAGTTCAAGGGACAGGAGCACACGTTTCAGGGGCCTTCACCCAGCCTGCTACAATAGCCAAGATGGGCTTAGGCATGCAGGTCCTGGTGGGGGCAGAGACAGCAGCAGAGAAGAGCTCCCACCTCTGTGGGAGGTGGAGGCCCAGGCCAAGGTGCCGGGTGTGACATCAGGTGCCATAACACAAACACGCAGGGAAAAAAACCTCAAACGGACACTGGGGCCTGAGCGGAGTCGGACTCACAGCGAGCAAGCCAAGGCTGGAGGAAGATTCGGGAGCTCTGGTTCCGGCTGATGTGGAGATGAACCAGAGCCCCCCCCCCCCCCCCCAAGGGGAGTGAAGGCCGAGCAGCACGTGAGCGACCGCAGAGGACCAAAGGCAATTGGCAAACGAGATTTATTTAAATGGTAAGTCGATGGGCACAGAAGGTGGTACGACAGCCCCCCAGAAGTGAGGTTTGTCAGGCTGTAGGGCGAGCGCAGGGCCGGCCACCGCCCAGGAAACACGGCCCATCCACTCCTGGGAGGTCAGGGGCATCCGCTCCCAGCTCAGTTGGGCCTCCAACAGATTAGTAAGTGATTTCCTTCAAGCCTAAGGAGGGGAAACACAAAAGTGTTAAGAGACTCACACTGTAGGGTGGAGAAAGCAGGCAGTGGTGGGACTCTGGGACCCGGGTGACAGGCTTGGGGGCACGGGCCACACGTCCCGCCGCGGCAGCTCTAGTCAAGAGCAGCCACAGGGACACAAAGACTGGACGAGGCTGTGGGGGGGGGGAGGGGCATCGAGGAGATTAGGAGAGCCCCGCCACGACTCATGGGCTCTCTGCGGGCAATGCCCGAAGTCTGCCCTCTCAGTAGTGAATCCTGAGCAAGCGTAGACACGAACGGTCCTGCCCCTCACACATACAGCACCAATGTCACAAAGTGTTCAGTTTATTAAAAAAAAAAACCTTATAAAAACTAGAATCTGGGGCACCTGGGTGGCTCAGTTGGCAGGGTGTCCGACTTTGGCTCAGGTAACGATCTCATGGCTTGTGAGGTCAAGCCCTGCGTCAGGCTCTACACTGATGGCTCAGAGCCTGGAGTCTACTTCAGATTCTGTCTCCCCCTCTCTTTGCCCCTCCCCCACTCATGCTCTGTCTCTCTCTCTCTCTCAAATATAAATAAACATTTTTAAAAAAAATTTATAGGGGAGCCTGGGTGGCTCAGTCGGTTAAGCGTCCAACTTCAGCTCAGGTCATGAGCTCACGGTTCGTGGGTTTGAGCTCCGTGTCAGGCTCTGTGCTGACAGCTCAGAGCCTGGAGCCTCTTTCAGATTCTATATCTCCCTCTCTCTCTGACCCTCCCCTGCTCATGCTGTCTCTATCTCTCTTTCAAAAATAAATAAAACATTAAAAAAATTTTTTTTAATTTATAAAAGATAAAACCTAGAATTGGCTTCACCGTATTCCAGACAAACTACATTTCCAAAAGTGTGGGAAAGTTGAGTTAATCTGGACATAGCATCAGGACGGAATTTTTATTATTTTTTTAAAGTTTTTTAAAAATTGTCTTAAATGTTTATTTTTGAGAGAAACGGAGAGAGACAGAGACAGAGACAGACTGTGAGTGGGGGAGGGGCAAAGAGAGAGGGAGACACAGAATCAGAAACAGGCTCTAGTCTCTGAGCTGTGTTTGTGGGGCTCAAACCCACAAACCGCGAGATCATGACCGGAGCTGAAGTCAGACACTTAACTGACTGACTGAGCCACCCAGGTGCCCCCAGGACAGAATTTTTATAAAGCCACTGAAATTATCCTCAGTGCAAGTTTTTCACACAAGGGGAGATGGCTGTCATAATACTAAGTGGGGAAGGCTGGGATTCCAAGTTACACAGCGTGTGAATTCAGTTCTGCTAAAAAGAACATGGCAGCTAGAAAACGAGTGAAAGGAAAGAGCTACCAGTGGTGATCTCTGAGGGACTGGCACACAGGCGATTTTCTTCTTCACCTTACTTTTCAGAAGCTTTCAAAATCTCTACTAAGAATCACATGTCTTTAAAATTGCGCAGGAGGGGCGCCCGGGTGGCTTAGTCGGTTAAGCGTCCGACTTTCGCTCAGGTCATGATCTCACGGTTCGTGGGTTCGAGCCCCGCGTCGGGCTCTGTGCTGACTGCCAGCTCAGAGCCTGGAGGCTGTTTCAGAGTCTGTAACTCCCTCTCTCTCTGACCCTCCCCTGCTCACGCTCTCTCTCTCTCTCTCTCTCTCTCTCTCTCTTAGAAATAAAAAAAAAAAAAAATTAATTAAAATTGCGCAGGAGGGGAAGGGGAGAGGAGTATAAAACCCCACTCATCAATTCTTTTAAATAAAAAGACACATTTAAAAGGATCTTGTGGGCTGGACTGCTGGGTAAATTTATAAACTACTTGAATGATAAACCCCAGGGCACGACTGACAGCTACATGTACACACGGGGTTTGCGCACAGGGCACTGCCGGGCTCCATCATGTCCTGGGTTTCCCTGGACTCCCTGGGCCCCCTGCCTCAGGCTGTATGTCATCGGACGGACTGCAGGATGCCTCTGCAGGAGGTCTGAGGGCGGCTACTCCAGTCAAGGCCACAAATGGGATCTAAGATGGCCTCCACGGGCCGGAGAGATGGCCTGGAGGACGACCCCGCAGAGGAAGCAAGACCAACACGGGGCCCTTGTAAATGGGGAACTGGGTCAAGACCTAGGAAACAGAAACGTGGAGATGAGGATCCAGGCTCCCGCCACGGCCTTCTTCCGCCAGGCTAGGGGACTTCACCTTCATCACAAGAGGGAAGAGGTGGGGCGGGTATCTGGCTGGCTTGGTCAGTTAAGTGTCTGAGCTCAGCCCAGGTCATGATCTCACGGTTCATGGGTTCGAGCTCCATGTCAGGCTCTGTGCTGACAGGTGGGAGCCTGGAGCCTGCTTCAGATTCTGTGTCTCCCTCTCTCTCTGCGCCTCCCCTTCTCAAGCTCTGCCTCTCTCTCTCTCTCTCTCTCTGTTTCTCAAAAATAAACATTAACAAACAAAAAAAAGAGGCAAGGGAGAAATTCGACCTGCAGCTGCATGGGTTTGCAGGGGACACACAGGAGAATGTGTGTTTGACATCTAGCAAACAGGTTATAAGGTGATTAACAAGACAAACAGTGGCTACTTTTAGTAAGATTACTGCTTTCGACTCTCAAGGTCTCTTCCCTTCCAACCGAGGAAATGCCACAGGAGACCTTAAGGCGCTGCTGGTTCATCAGTGCCGGTCTACCTGGCTTATCTGAACGGTTCTCCTGGTTTCCATGCTAAGGAAACACGGAGAAGGGACAGCTAACTTCCTGTGTGTGCTCATGAACACACACAGACGGTGCCCCGTTCTTCCCAGGCACATCCTGCATTCTTTGCAGAGAAAAAGGTCCCCCATTTCTAGGTCAAATCAACAAAAGTAAAGCCACGTACCCAGTTCACTTCCTCCTTTGGTTGCCCAACAAAGGCAGTAGTGCTGCATGAGCTGTTCGAGAAGCTCCATTTCATCCAGGAATTCAAGGGACTCTATTCTGTGGAGAGAATAAAAAGCAGAGTGTGAATGTATGCAAAAAATGAAGATGACAACCTAAAGTTTAGGGATATGGAAGGATGTTTATATTCATACTAAGAGGAAAGAAGGCTATGAAATAGTGCATACAGTATGCTTCCACTTTAATTTATTTTAATGTAAAAAAAATATATACCGTAAACAAAGTCAAAAGACAAAAGAGAAACTGGAAAAAAATATTTGTAATACAAAAAACAAAGGGTAGATTTCTTTGCTACATAAAGGGCTGTTACACTTCATGAGAAAACTTTTTTTTTTTCTTTTAAATAGTCTCCATACCCAATGTGGGGCTTGAACTCATGATGCTGAGATCAAGAGTTAGTTGCATGCTCAATCAAATGAGCCAGCTAGATGTCCCCATTTAAAATGTACTCCTTTCGGGGCGCCTGGGTGGCTCAGTTGGTTAAGCGTTTGACTTCGGCTCAGGTCATGATCTCACGGTTCGTGGGTTCGAGCCATGTGTCAGGCTCTGTGCTGACATCTAGCTCAGAGCCTGGAGCCTGTTTCAAATTCTGTGTCTCGCTCTCTCTCTGACCCTCCCCTGTTCATGCTGTCTCTCTTTCTCTCTCTCTCAGAAATAAAACATTTAAAAAATAAAATGTATACCCTTTCACTCAGCAATTCTTCCTTTAAGAGTTAACACTATATGTACAAAGATGTACATTCCAGAATATTCACTGCAGCATCACAGCAAAAAACTGTAACCCAGGAGAGCTGGGCTAAATAGATTACAGTACATTCATACAACTGGAAGGTATGCAGCTCTCTGAAAGGATGTAATAGGTCTGTGTGCATTGACACGGAACAGCCTCTAAGGCTTATGATGAAATTCAAAAAGGAACTGTAGTAAATAACGTGCAGAGTACATGACTATCTATGAAAAGAAAAGTGGGGCATATGGGCTTGCACATGCATAGCTCACTTCTGGAAAACACAGAAGAAACTGGCAATGGTGCTGGTCTCTTGAGAGAAGGTAGTGGACTCATAGTGAGGGGAGCAGGATGGAAGGTTGGTTTTTGTTTGTACTTTATACTACCTTCTTCTGTTTTGTTTTATCATGTGCTTGTATGATTTTTTTTTCAAAAGAGCATTTTAAATATAAGTTTTAAAACATATGTACAAAGAGGTGCCTGGTTAAGCATCTGACTCTTGATTTTGGCTCAGGTCATGATCTCATGGTTCATGGGTTCAAGCCCTACCTCTCAGGCTCTGCACTGATATCATAGAGCCTGGTAGGGATTCTCTCTTTCCCTCACTCTCTGCTCTTCCCCCACTCTCTCTCTCTCAAAATAAAAATAAATTAATGGACTTTTCCCCCTTAGAAGCCCTTGGGCAGTGTCATTTTCTTCCTCCTCCAAAACACCGGGATTGCGCACGATTCCCACTTGTAGAGAGTGCTCTGGGAGTGTGACAGGTGTGACTGCTTGTTTTGACTAAACTGACCTGCGCTGGCATAAACCCTATCTCCACCAGCGGCTAATGAGTAACTCTCAAGGTGCTCTCAATGTTTACCCTGTATTAGCACGTTAACATGTTTCAAAATAAATCCAGTTAGGGTTTTTTTTTTACATTAAAGACAGTTATGCCTTTAATTCAGAATCCTTCGCCGGAAGCTAGCGCTCACCAACCCGCACCTGCTCACTTCGGCCTGAGGCAATGTGCTGTACACTTCCATCATGTTGACGGCTGACGCTGTTTCCCACCCATTCGCCAGGAGCCGTTCTTTCTAGAATGTGCGGTGGAGAGAAAAGGGGAAGAAGGTACAAGGCACTGTTGTACAAATCCAAGACACTCTTGAGGCCCAGGAGAATTTCTCTTAGAGGACTCCTTTTTCAAAAGCCCAGCCTGGCCCCTGTCTTTCTTATTTTCCAGTTTTCTACACCAAACATGCATTGTTGTAATGGGAGAGAAGTCACTAACGTATTATTTAAAGAAAAATAAAGGAAAAAACTTGTCTGTGAGCAAGAGTGCTTGGAAGCATTGGAGGGGTAATGTGATGTAAGACATGTACAATCTCACCTATTTAATGGGGGCACTGGCGGGTGGTGTCTCTTCAGTGAAAAAAACTATATAAATAAAAGATATTTTTAAAAAATCTATTATAGATCCTAAGAAACGTAAGGGACATGTCAAGTACAAAGTTTGGAACCATGTTTGGATCCTGTTTCAAACACATCATCTATACAATTTTTTTTTTTAAACTGGGGAAATCCAAACACGAAATGTGGAGTGGGTGGTATGAAGAAGTTCTGGCTGATGTGTGAAGTATAATAATGATATAACTGTTATCCCGGGGTGGAGGGGGGAGAAAGTGCTTACTGGTAGGAGATTCACATGGAAGTATTTACGGGGGAAATGAAACACTCTCTGGGATTTGCCTTAAAATATCCCAATGACAATACCAACTAAAAATGGGGATACATAAAACAATATTGAAAAACGTGAATCGCTAAAGTTGGCTCATCATGGGTTTTGTTTTACTGTTCCCCCTATGTTCATGTTGCTTGAAAATCTGCATCATGAAAACTTTAAATAATAGGGTATGGGAAATAGAAATGTGTATTTTCCAAACCAAGATGGCGGCCCAGGGCTTGGACTTCCCTGGTGCGAGGAACCAGTGGCCCACGTGGAGCCCCAGCTGCCTGCTCAGGTGGGCACTCGACCGGGCTTCGCACATTCTCTGATCTGAGGAGGGAGTCTGTCCTTCCCTGGACTCTCTGACCTGTGACTCTAACGACTTGCAGGTCTCCACTCCTGCCAGGTCACACTGTCGCCTCCGCAGGTTTTCGACCATGATCTGTCCAAACCGGTCGTCCATGTTCACCTGGGAAGGGAAAGAGGAGGCTGGGCACTGCCAGAAGGAGTTGCTGTTTTTTTTTTTTCTCAAATATGCAAAGTAAGACAATATTGTATTTCTGACCAGTCAAGGCTGACGTCTGCTAATACCCTGTGCAGGTGACGGAATTGGGTGCAGATGCGGCAGGCGGGGCCGACGAGAGCACATGCTGCCGCCCCCTGCAGGGCAACCGGGCGATGTGTGCTGGGCCTGGGAGCCAGGCAGACCGAGGCCAGCGAGCTGCTCCACAGGTACACTCACACGTACGCGCCAGGTGCCGGAGTATTTGCACTGCAGCATGACACCTGACAGGAAGAGCCTGGAAAGAACTGGCATGCCCAGCGTCTGGGGTTAAAGAAATTCTGGTGTGCTCATTTAATGAGATATTATATACTATATGACATATATGTATACATTATATATTATAATGAAAACAGGAAGACGATATCCAAGCAGGGGCAAATACAGATGTAGACGCAGATACAGACACAGACACGGAACGATTCTCAGATAATAAACTCTCGAAAAGTAGAGTATGGAGGGATGTGTGTAATACACTCCTACCTGCCTTTAAGATCTCTATCTACATTTATATAGGCATAGAATAATTCTGGAATCTGGCAACGTTGCTTCCCAGGTTAGAGGACTCAGGTCCAGGGTAGAAAAGTGACTTACCTTTCCCTGTGTATCGTTTCATACTATTTGATTTTTTTAAAGTTTTGTATGTGGTATTACTTTATTGATAAAAAAACATTTTAAACCCTTTTTAATGTTTGTTTATTCTTGAGAGAGAAAGAGAGAGCAAGAGGGGGAAGGACAGAGAAGGAGGGAGACACAGAGTCCGAAGCAGGCTCCAGGCTCTGAAGTGTCAGCACAGAGAGAGAGAGAGAGAGAGCAAGAGGGGGAAGGACAGAGAAGGAGGGAGACACAGAATCTGAAGCAGCTCCAGGCTCTGAAGTGTCAGCACAGAGAGAGAGAGAGAGCAAGAGGGGGAAGGACAGAGAAGGAGGGAGACACAGAATCCGAAGCAGGCTCCAGGCTCTGAAGTGTCAGCACAGAGCCCGATGCGGGGCTCGAACCCACAAGCTGTGACATCATGACCTGAGCTGAAGGTGGATGCTTAACCAACTGAGCCACCCAGGTGCCCCCCGCCCCCATTTAAAATCACTTTAAAAAGCCATTAATGTATCTATACACACAAATGCCACACAACATAATACACTGTGCATTATAGCATCTATACTATTACTTTGTCATCAAGGTACCAAAACTTCAACACTTTAATATACAAAATGCTTCCCAGAGCCCCTGTGACAACAGTGCCAGGCAAGACGCAGTATTACTCTCTTTTGGCGGACGTGTGAGGACAACAGGACCGTTGGCTTGATTAAAACATTGTTAAAAGAGGGGCGCCTGGGGGCTCAGTCGGTTGAACGTCCGATTTGGCTCAGGTCATGATCTCGAGGTTCGGGAGTTCCAGCCCTGCACCAGGCTCTGTGCTGACAGCTCAGAGCCCGGAGCCTGTTTTGGATTCTGCGTCTCCCTCTCTGTCTGCCCCTCCCCTGCTCACGCTGTCTTTCTCTCTTATAAATAAATAAACACTTAAAAAAAAAAAAAAGAAAGAAAGAAAACAGAATTCATTTTCCCCAGGACTGGTATCCTGCAACCAAAGACAGATTCCCAGGATTTATAGAAGATAAATGATACCAACTACAATTATATCCATTCACCAGGACTGAAGACTGAGTCTGAGGAATGCTCCCAGTTAGAGAGGAAGGAAAATCAACCAAAAATCACTTCTACAGGAATCTGGACTGGAGCATGAGAGAGTGAAAAGGTCAACCAAAGTCTAGCCTTAGACCTGACCATAATTATGTGACATTGTGCAAAGCCTTAACTGCTCTCATCCATAATGGAATTTAAAAATAAAATGAGATCAAAAAAATAAAAACAATAAAATTAAAAAAGCAACAGAATTAGCCACCATGTGCTCAGACACGTGCCCACTGCTACACAGCATCCCATGAACTGCCATAATAATCCAGAGAAGTTATCCCTTTATAAACAAGGATATGGCGGGGGCGCCTGGGGGTTCAGTTAGCTGAGCATCCAACTCTTGATTTCTGCTTGGGCCATGACCTGGGAGTTCATGGGATCGATCCAGGCTGCCAGCACAGAGCCTGCTTGGGATTCTCTCCACCACTGGCCCCACCCCCCCGCCACCCTTTCCCTGCTCATGGTCTCTCTCTCAAAATAAATAATGAACATTAAAAGAATACATAGAAACAAAAACAAGGACCTGGGGCTCAGAAAGATCCAAATCACAGCTAGCACCTGCTCAACAGCCAGGCGGGCCTGTAAATGCTCTCGTCGTACAAAGTAGCTTGCTTACTCCTCACTACAACCCTATGAAGTCAGATTTTATTCTCATTTTTTGGATAAGGAGACAGGAACAGAGAAGGTATGAAACTTGTCCAGGTCACACAGCTAGGCAATCTACCTCCAGAGCATGGACTCCCAACCAGCCTGTAATTCTGCCTCAGGTCACACAGCTAATCAAAAAAGCATAAGACTCAGACCCAAGCTGAATACTTCCAAAGCTCTAAGACAGAGCCCTTTCTACCGGGTCGGAAGAATAAACCAGGCAGCCAGTGGACTAAACTCACGGATCTTAGAAATTAGGAAATTTTAGGGGCTTCTGGGTGGCTTAGTCGGTTAAACGTCCAACTTTCGCTTAGGTCATGATCTCACAGTTCGTGGGTTCGAGCCCCGCGTCGGGCTCTGTGCTGACTGCCAGCTCAGAGCCTGGAGCCTATTTCTGAGTCTGTCACTCCCTCTCTCTGTGACCCTCCCCTGCTCATGCTGTCTCTCTCTCTCTCCTAGAAATAAATAAAACATTAAAAAAAAATTAGGAAATTTGATATTAAAATTCTGCACTGTAACTTCTGAAAATTTGGGAGTTCTCAGCTCCAGGCTGCCATGCCCACAGAGGAACAAATAACTGGCAGGCATCAAGCAGGGGTGAACTGTGGGTCACCAGAGTCCCTCCCCTCCACTCCTGCCTACCTTATACGTGGCCAGCCTGCATCACTGACACCCATATGCCTATGACACCCTATGACTTTATAATTAATACAGTGGTAAAATAAGAACTCACAAAGCTTTTATAAAGGTGAAGACAGAATTCCAAAAATTCTGGCTGTGAATCTGTAGGAAGTTAAGAAATCAGGAATACTGGGGACTGCTAGACTTGATTAAAAATGGGACATGTCGGGGCACCTGGGTGGCTCAGTCAGTTGGGCGGCTGACTTCGGCTCAGGTCATGATCTCACAGCTCACGAGTTCGAGCCCTGTGTCGGGCTCTGTGCTGACAGCTCAGAGTCTGGAGTCCATTTCAGATTCTGTGTTTCCTTCTCTTTTTTCCCCTTCTCTGCTCTTTCTCTCTCTCTCTCAAACATAAACAAACATTAAAAAAAAATTAAAGAAAAAAAAAAAAGGAGACGTGTGTAGCCAGCGGCGGAAGGAAAAGAACAAGTGGAAACTTATCCTGAGGCAGCTCAGAGAGGGTAAGCCACCAGAGGAATGCACGCAGCACGGGAATGTCTTGTGCTTCCTTTTACCTGTTCGTAGTTTATGAACATAGCGGTCTCAAAACTGTGAGCTGCCCACTTGATAAGGTTGGCCGACTGCTCCGGAGTCATGTAAACCAGCACACATTCCGTTATCAGGAGTGTTGGCAATCTTCAGAGAAGAAAAAAAGGCACATAAGTACGTATCGATCAAACGGGGACTCTCCAATGGACCCCACGTGGCAGTACTGGCAGGAGAACCCTGGGGTGCCCGCCGCAGGAAGAGAAGCCCTGAACAAGCACACCGACGATCAGGGCGGTAAGAGATGGGGACCCCCCCATCGTGACCCAAAGTTTCGGACTGTAAAAACGTGAGCAGCGAGCAAGGTTTTGTCCGGCTTGTGCATACAGTGTGAAAGGTGCGTGGTAGATCATAAAAAATGGCTACGAATTCTCCCCCGCCGTGCCCGCACATGGTCACGAGGTGACCCTGCCGACTCTCTCTGCTCCGAGGTCCAGTCTAGTTCCCTTCCCCTGGAACCTGGATTAGTCGTATAACTTGCTTTCGCCAACAGAACAGTATCAAACACGATGCAAGCAGAAGTTGAAAATCACTTGCGCGCTGGCCCTTGCTCTCTTGCTTGGAAACCTGAATCCCTAAGGGAGTGAACCCAAGCTAGCTTGCTATCGGAGAGGAGGCCCTGTGCATGAGAACAAGGCATCCACATAGGAGTAAGCCCCAGGGGACAGCAGCTACACCTGGCCCCAGTGGAAGAACCACCTCGCTAAGCCCAACCCAAATGGTCAACTCACACAGTCTGGAGCAACTTGTGAATTGCTCTATATTGTGAGTTGTTCTAAACCACGGAGTTTGGAGAGATTTTGTTACACATCAAAAGCTGACTGATAAAATGAAGAAATACTGATATCTATTTAACAGAATCTAATTCTTCTTATACAAACTTTTATGATCAAGAATTAAAAACAACATGAACCGTCTTCAGTAAATTACACATTAGTACACACTCTGGCGTTACCAGACTCAAAGTAACGAACAAATTATGAAACAGGATAAGGAATAAACTCCTATAGAAATCTCCAAAAGCTTTAACTGTAGAAAGGAACACCCTAATGTCTGAACTCCAGTGATTTATTACTGCTCCTTCTGACTCCTTTACTGCGCCTTCTCTTCCTTCTCTGCCCCTTTAGACTGCTGTTCCTCATGGCTGGTTGCTGTTTTTCTCACAAAGCCAAGTATGTTATTTTTGCCCATGTTTATTGGCAGGGAATTTCGAAGCAAATAAATCGTTTGAACTCAAAATACCCGAGAAATAAAAAGATGTATCCAGGGGTACCTGGGTGGCTCAGTCAGTTAAGCATCCAACTTTGGCTCAAGTCATGATCTCATGGTCCATGGGTTTGAGCCCCACATCAGGCTCTGTTCTGACAGCTCGGAGCCTGGAGCCTGCTTTGGATTCTGTGTCTCCCTGTCTGCCCCTCCCTGGCTCGTGCTCGTGCTCACTCTCTCTCTCAAAACTAAATAATAGTTACATTAAGAATCCAAGTGCGCCTGAGTGGCTCAGTCAATTAAGCATCTGAGTCTTGATTTCGACTCCGGTAATGATCCCAGGGTTGTGGGATCAAGCCCTGTGTCAGGAATCTTCTCTCTCCCTTTCTTTTCCTCTTCTCCTCTCCCCGAATTGCACATGTTCTCTTTCTCTCTAAAATAAAGACATGTGTGTATACACACACACACACACACACACTGCTACAAATAATCTCTGGAACCAACTGGATCATGGTACAAAGAAACTGAGAGAACTAAACCCAGAGGAAAGCCAATGAAGTCTGAGTTGCAGATGAAATTGAAAATCAGAGAGAAAAACATTAAAAAGAAGTTTTTTAAAGTAAGCATTTTTTTAACCTAAGTCTAAAACCCCAGATTATATCAATAGAAATGATTAGAAAGAGTGAGTGAGTGAGTGGAAAAAAAGGTTTCAAACCTTAATAGGTTGATAATTAGAAAAATACAGTCCTAAAAACCTTTTAATTTATTTAAAAAGTCTTTTTAATATTTATTTTTGAGAGACAGAAAGAGAAGCACAAGCAGGGGAGGTGTAGAGAGAGAGAGACACACACACATAGGAACCGAAGCAGGCTCCAGACTCCGAGCTGTCAGCACAGAGCCTGACGTGAGGCTCAAACTGACGAACCGTGAGATCATGACCTGAGCCAAAGTCAGATGCTTGACTGACTGAGCCACCCAGGCGCCCCTCTAAAAACCTTATTCAAGCAAAAGGCACTGATTATTACACAAGGCATTACCACATGGGGAAGCCAGGTGTAGAAGGCTACGTGGGAATTTCCTGCAGCTTTTTCATAGATTTGAATTATTTGAAAACGAAAAGTTAAGGAGGTTTACAGTATATTTTTAAGAGGCAGACACTGGGAATATTAAAAACAGGATGAGAGGCACCTGGGTGGCTTAGTCGGTTAAGCGTCCGACTTTCGCTTAGGTCATGATCTCGCGGTTCATGGGTTCAAGCCCCACGTCGGGCTCTGTGCTGACTGCCAGCTCAGAGCCTGGAGCCTATTTCAGAGTCTGTGTCTCCCTCTCTCTCTGACCCTCCCCTGCTCACGCTGTCTCTCTCTGTGCTAGAAATTAAAAAAAAAAAAAATTAAAAACAGGATGAATACTTTTCAAAATAGAAGTGAAAGCAAAGCAAAAACAGCCCATAAAGGAAAATACAGAGCACAAATGAGCCCCACAGAACTATGTATGCAGTTCTAATACTTGTGATAGCCGCTGTTCTCCGTCCATTTTGTAGATCTCCAAAGGCGAGGCAAACCTATCAAGAGCTCCCCTGATTAGCTTTTTTAAGTTTATTTACTTATAGTGAGAGAGACGGAGAAAGCGTGAGCAGTGGAGGGGCAGAGAAAGAGGGAGGGAGAATCCCAAGCAGGCTCTGCACTGTCAGCACAGAGCCAAATGTGGGCACGAACTGGGAGATCGTGACCAGAGCCAACATGAGGAGTTGGACGCTCAACCACTGAGCCACGGAGGCACCCCAAGGGCTCTCCCAATTTGTAAGTGGTTACTTTCCTGGCCATTTAGCACATCTGCCCAAACAGTGGGTTACTATAGTCGCAGCAGGCTGCTGCTGGTTACCACTGCCACTGTACTAATCTACAGGAGACTACACAGTCTACATACCAATTTCTGTTCAGTTGCTTTCACACGCATGCTTAACGTAAGCTCCAAGCTGTCAGCGCAGAGCCTGACCCTGGCGGGGTTCGATCTCACCAACTATGAGATCATGACCTGAGCTGAAATCAAGAGTTGGATGCTTCACCAACTGAGCCACCCAGGCGCCTGCAGTTATAGGTTTTTACGCATACAGTTAACTTCCCAAACTTTACGATGTTAGGCATCAGTATGTTACAAAAGCAATACATGTGATTCTGATGTGAAAACAGAAGACACACTGCTTCTCAAAAGATTTTAGAAAACTGCTCTCAGTAGCAATGAAATGGTTAACATTTCAGAATAAAAAATGGGACATGGGTATCATGCTGCACTTTTCAACTGACCTTATTTCGTATTAGCATGAAATCACAAATGCATAAGAGGTTAAAAAAAAATCTCACTGTGGATTCATGTTACATTTCTTTAGCTTCTCTTCGAGTTCAGGTAAATCTCGGAGGTCTGCTCCAATAATGGCATATCTCTTTGAATCCAACAGGTGTCCCTCTGTAAAGCCAAGAAGACATTATCATTTCAACAGAAATTAATCCAGAGATGATCATTTCAATAGAGTGTTTTCAAAATTAAATTTATTTTTTCTCTATTATAGAAATACACACTCCATTACAAATAGGAAAAAAACATCAGGAAGGAGGAAGGTGGAAAGGAACGAAAATCACATCTTCCAACTGATAGTGTTTTGGTACAGATCATTCCAGTCTTTATTTTCCCCCCTGGGTGCTTAAACTAATACACACAACATAAGCACATTTTCTGTCACACAAATGTATACACACACATCACACAGAAAAAAGAAAATGGGGCCAATTCTTCTTTTGAAAACTGCTTTTCCTACTTAACAGTGACATCATTCTCTGTAATGATTTCCTAGCATTCCATGAGTGGATAAAACAACTTATTCAGCCAAGCCCTCACTATTAGGCATGTGGTATTTCCAAATTTTCTCCATCTGAGGTGCTGCAAGGATTATCTTTTACAGATATCATGAAGCACCTGTCCGGTGAAGTAGGTCTCTAGTAGTAGAATTAGGAGGTCAAAGGGTAACATTGAAATACTGGTACCGACGGGCTGGCTGCTCTCTAAATGTTGTGCCAATTTGTGAGATACTATGGTTAAAAGAAAATAGCTTCTAAAGTATTTACAAGTAAGATGATAACGTTTGCTTGAAAATGCTCCTGCAGAGATTGGACGGTATGGTTTATATAGTGGTCCCCGGGCTTTGGCAGTCATCAGAATCACTTGGTGGGCTTGTTAAAACAGACTGGTCGGCTCCACACTCTGAGTGTCTGATTTAGCAGGTCTTCCAGAAGTAGACATTTTTTTCAAATTCTTTCAAAAGCTAGAAATCTGCATTTCTAACAAGTGCTCAGGTGGTGGTGATGCCACGAGTCTGGGACTGCACTTTTAGAATCACTGTAAGCTGAAATTGGCCAGTTAAAGTTCAGTGGTGGGTACATGGAGGTTCATAGATAGTTTTATTTTTTTAAGTTTATTTACTTATTTATTTGTTTATTTGGCGGGGTTGGGGAGGAGTGAGCATGAGCAGGGGAAGGGTGGAGAGAGAGGGAGAGAAAGCATCCCAAGCAGGCTCTGCCAATGCAAGGCTTGAACTCATGAACTATGAGATCATGACCTGAGCCAAAATTAAGAGTGGCCGTTTAACTGAATGAGCCACCCAGGCATCCCTCCTTGATTTACTCATTCTGACTTACTTTTCATTGTGTGCCCATTTATATACTTTTCATTTTCACCTCATACATATTTCAGCTTAAAAAAAATTATCAATTCCAAGATGAATATTTTTTCACACTTCAACATTTCTGAAACGAGGATGCATCAGTCAAAAATGTTTCAGTTTAACTTATCAGCACCTTTTCTTTCCTGATGGTAAATAAACAGTGTGATTCTTCCAATCACAGCCTCAAAAGTTTAATGAAGTAGGGCAATTTTTCAAGGAAAATCTGTCTGTTTTATTATCACCTATCACTTTCCTCAAATTTTCACTCATTTGCATTTCATTTATTTTTATTTGAACTGTCCCTTTCTTAGTATGATGGCAAGATCAAGAAACTATCAAGGGCAGGACTAGAAAATCTGCTTACATAAGACTCACAGAGTTAAAAAGCAAGTGAAAGGCTAAGAAAAAAAATATGCCCCCAACCCCCCCCCAGTTGGCAAGGGATTTATATCACTGAACATTCTGTTATGTGATAAAGGACTTCTATAAATTGAAAAGAAAATGAAACAGTGCAACCAAAAAATTTATGAGCAAAGGAAATTTACAAAGAAATCCCACAGGCCAATAGGAAGGAAGGAAGGATATTCCCTCTCATTAGCACATTCAAGGTTATAAAAAATTTAAAACAAACAAAAAAAGTTATAAAAAATTTTAAATTCATAGATCTGGCAGACTGGCAGAAATTGTTTTAAATGGTAGTAGCCAGTGTTAGTGAGGGTATAGAGAAAGAGAATTCTCATCTACTCTAGCGAAAATATAAATTAGTCAAAACGGGGGAGCCTGGGTGGCTCAGTCGGTTAAGCGTCCGACTTCAGCTCAGGTCATTATCTCACATTTCGTGGGTTCGAGCCCCGCATTGGACTCTGTGCTGACAGCCAGCTCAGAGCCTGGAGCCTGTTTCAGATTTTGTATCTCCCTCTGTCTCTGACCCTCCCCCGATCATATTCTCTCTCTCTCTCTCTCTCTCAGAAATAAATAAAACATTAAAAAAAATTAGTAAAAAAAAATTTCAAGGGTCTTGAAAAACGGTTTGGCAGCAGCTGTTAGAATTCATAACGTACAATTCTTTGAACCAGTAATTCCTACAAATATGCACATGCACCTATGCTTTCTACAAAACTGTCTACAGGAAACCATAAACTAGGCAGCAATCTAAAGGACCATCAGTGGTGAATACATGAAGTAAAATGGAATTTCCATGCAGAGGAGTGCTGTAAAGTCACCAGAAATAATGAGGGGGATCTAATATAGCAACATGAAGACAGCCATGAGTCACTAGGATGCACAAAGAACAAGTTACAAAACGGTACGTGTAAATTATTCACTTTATTAAAATTATACGTAGGCCCATATTTATTATAGAAGTATAGATTCACTCCTTCAACAAATATATGTTGATCTACAACATATATGTTTATTTTTTCAATGTGTGCATACATTCCTTCAACAAAAATGTATTGAACCTCTTATGGGCCAGGCACGGGATTACATTTACATGTGTATTTTCTCCTGTGTGATATTTACCTGTGTCTAGGTAACTGTCCATCCACAGGCAAAAGCACACTGCACACTGGTTATTGTGGTGGGGGGAGAGGTTACGCAGGGTCTTTACTTTCTACTTCACACGTTTCTACACTATTGGATCAAAGGCAATGCAAAGTGCTAGCCCTTTCATTACAGGTAATCATTCTAATCAAATAATAACCAAAGATACAGAAAATTTTAACAGCTACAATGTAGAGAAAGCAGAGGTGCCAGCCAATGGCAAAGCCTGAGAGGTTCTACTTAGAATCTGTAGGAGGGAAACGAAGGACAGGGGAGATGTTATTCTCTGCAGGTGTTTGTCCCCTGGGAGCATAACGATGGCACTGTGGTGGGGGGGCCTGTCTAGCTGTCTGCTGTCTCCTGTGTTACCCGCCCACCATCTAAGAAGGCCATTCTTTCTGAGCATGTGGTCTGACGTGAGTTATCATGAAGCCCCTTGAACTTCTCTGTCAGACACACACTGAACATGATGGAACATTCTGGAAGAGGTTTATCTTAGTTTTAAAGGCTTAGAAGTGAGGAGAGAGTTGTTAGAAACACTCATAATTAAAACTTAGGGGGAAAAACAGCCCTGGGCCCAAGGACATAAGGTAACGGGTGAAGCAGGTCAGGCACGAGACAGCAGATAACACAGCTATCTGATAACTTCTCTGTCAGACAGTTCTCTCTCGGTGAAGCAGCCACGTGGGAGTCAGGGTCCGAGGCTGCCAGACTGGAGTTTTCCAAGGAAAGATGGAAATTGAGATTTTCAGGGGGAAAAAAAATCTCCTATTTTTGAAATGTTAGCAACTCTCTGAAAAATTTTTTTTTTCGAGATTGAAGATTGGGACCTAAGGACATCTAAGAAGAGCCACACTAAAAGTTATTTCAAATTCCTTCACAGTAAATGTAACGCAGAAGATTATACACTCCGTGACATCATGTGGACACACGTGTGCACGTGCGCTCTCTCTCTCTCTTTCTCACACACACACACATGCCATTTTTAAAAAGCAAAGGGGAAGAAAAGAAGAGAGGTAGGCCATATTGTATTACTTAGGTTAAGGGTACTTGCCGATTTGAAGTGTGTCCTCTGAATGTAATTCTACAATGGATTGTGATAAGAAAGACTTATATCTATGGGAAGATGGGAAAGAGAGAGTAATGAGTCAAGTAGCTTAGTCACTGCAAAACGCAAACACCCGCTACAGAAATGGCAAACAGGCACTGCTACTGTTCCTAGTCAGGGTGACTCCAGAGGGCCTTCTGCCTAATTACGCCTGGCCCTGGGCACACGCAAGAAAAATTCAGTGGATCAGCTCTCAGATTCGCTCTGTAAGCGTTATACTCAGGATGTGATGTCATCACAAACTGATCATGAAATACTCAAGACTTAGACATCGCTAAAGATAGGCTAGCAATATTTTTCCAAATGTTCCGATGTTTTCCAAGCCGTCTCTTGTTTCCTGCCTCTGCTCAATTAAAAAATTTTAACATGGTGATTATTAATCAAAGATAACTAAAAAAAATTGAGTCCTACTTGGACCTGAAGTTCAGTAACATTTATGTGCTGACTCTCCCCTCCTCCGGAATATGCAAAAAATCAGATATCAGAGAGCTGAATTCAGGATCGCAGCCACCATACATGCATTTTTCACCCCAGAAACTGCCTCTAGGGTTTCTAGAGCCCACCTGCTCTTATTTTACTGTGTTTTTTTTTTTTTTTTTTTTTTTACAAATAGTTTATTGTCAAATTAGTTTCCACATAACACTCAGTGCTCATCCCCAAAGTGCCCTCCTCCATGCCCCTCCCCCCCTCCCCCCCACATCCATCAGTCCTCAGTTTTTGTCAGCATTCAAGAGTCTCTCATGGTTTGCCTCTCTCCCTTTCCCCCACCATTTCCCCCCTTCTTCTCCCCCTTGGTCCTCCGTCAAGTTCCTCCTAATATTTTACTGTGTTTTAACAAGGTAGGTTGTATTCTATGGGGCAGCTGGGTGGCTCAGTTGGTCATAAGTGTCTGACTTCCACTCAGGTCATGATCTCACAGTTCATGGGTTTGAGCCCCGTTCGGGCTCTGTGCTGACAGCTCAGAGCCTGGAGCCTGCTTCAGATTCTGTGTCTCCCTCTCTCTCTGCTTCTCCACAGCTTGTACTTTCTCTCCCTCTCTCTCAAAAATAAATAAATATTAAAAAAAATAAAATGCACATTTCGTGTAATATAATCTTATATTTGAAAAGGGGAAAAACTTATTTTCACAGGAAAAATCAGGAAAAAGAAAACCCATAAAATATATTTCTAGATTGTGAGGAGCACACATCTTTAAAGGACAAGGTGAAATTTTTAATGTTTACTAAAATTTTTTTTAACTGTAAGAATTAAGATTTTGTTGACATGATTAATGTACAAAGAAGAGGAGGAAGTATAGGTTAAAATCACCGAGAAAATCTGACCTTGGGCTTGAGGTCAGGGTTTAAATTTCAGCTCTACCCCTTTCTCAACAGGTGACCTTATGGAAATTAGCTTAACGTCTTTGAGCTTCGGTTTCCTCACTTGCTAATAAGAGCATGTAAGTCATGCATCGTTGGCTCAGAGGACTGAATGAGATGATCCGAGTGAAGCTTTTCACACAGTACTACAAATGCTCTCAGCAAAGATTCACAAACTCGTCATCTACAACTTTGCAAAATTCTTAAGACTTGGACTCAGGGTGGCCCCTACACTATCTCATATATAGTGAATGACCTACTTGGGGCTCCCGTTATTCTTCAAACGCTATTTATTACACATCTGCCCTGGGCCAGGCACCTTTCTGTGCCTGGAGATAAAGAAGTAGCCAAAGCACACATAAAAATTCAGATTATTGGGGCTCTTGGGTGGCTCAGTAGGTTGAGCATCCGACTTCAGCTCAGGTCATGATCTCATGGTTCATGATTTCGAGCCCCATGTCGGGCTTTGTGCTGACAGCTCAGAGCCTGGAGCCTGCTTTGGATTCTGTGTATGTGTCTCTCTGCCCTTCCATACTCAGAATGTGTCTCTTTCCCCCCTCTCAAAAAATAAATAATACATAAAAAAGCTTTTTTTTAACTTCATATTACTAAACCACTACAGGTCATTTCTTTTAAATGTTCAGAGAAATTATGTTAATGGACAGAAGAGTTGCAAGGGAGGGTATGTTTCATTTTGAAGATAGTTTGGAATGAGGATCTTGGGGCCAGAAAGCAAGTGAGATGGGGGTAAAAGGAAGAGTCCTCTAATGAGGTCTCTGGTGTTCAGAGCTGCCACTTCCTAAATGCTGCCTCTGAACTTACTGGGTTCTCCCCTCTGGTCAAAACCATACTTACTTGATGCTGTGCAGCTTTCTCGTGATTATCATGGGAAAGTCCACCTCAAAATATTTACTGGGGAGAAGATCTTCATCCTGAGGGAAAATACACAGTAAGTTTTAGAATTATGTATTCACTCATACATTTACCAATCACCTTCATGTACCAAGTCCTAGGCCCTGAAGAGTAACAGGGTACTGAAGGGTGTTAAGTCTGGGAACGATACGAGCAGAAATGTATTTTTCAGATTACTGTGGTCTCTGCATGGGGAATGGGTGGAGGCCGGGAGTGAGGGGTTATCACGGCTGTCCAGGGAAGAAGGCACGGGGAGCCCAAACTGGGTGAGCAGCCCCTGGGATGGAGGTGTGGAGGAGCTGAGAGGCAATGGGGAGTAGGACCTAATAGAATTTTCCAAAACGCAGGCTGAGATGAATTAGAGAGGGTCAGGACACCAGTGAGGGGTTCTGACCAGCAGTTGAGGGTTAAAATGGAATAAAACAGCAAAAATCCCAAAGCATCGCACACTATGGGGATGGGTACTGCTTTGTGACAGTCTACTTCTTCCTGTGAAGGGAGGTTACAGCCGGTGGTAAAGGGCAGGCACTCTGGAGCCAGAGACAGGGGTTCAGGTCCCAGCTCCACCGCCTGTCTGCCGTGAGGCCCTGAAGTCAGTCAACTCCCTGGGTTGGCCCTGGTTTCTCCTGTCTGTGAAGTAGAGAAAGTGATAGTGTCTCGCGGGGTTGTGAGCATTAATGAGGAAATAAATACACACCAGTGACCCTCAGAACAGGATCTGCCTTAGAAAGTGCCACATGTGTGCCATTACTGACATGGGTACAGGGCGCCTGGGTGGCTCAGTCAGTTAAGCGTCTGACTTTGGCTCCGGTCATGATCTCACGGTTCATAAGTTTGAGCCCCACATGGGGGCTTTCTGCTGTCAGCACACAGCCCACTTTGGATCCTCTTCCCCCCCCCAACCTCTGCCCTTCCCCCACTGGCTCTCTCTCAAAATAAACTTATTAAAAAAAAAACCTTATTGACACAGGTACGGGTCTTGGCCCGGGGTGTACATTTATTTTTACTGAGCCCTGCCAGGAAAACAGTGTGGCAGACACACCCACACCCATCTTTCTCTCACACACACGCGCGTGCGTGCGCGCGCGACCTTGCCTCTCCTTCGGCAGCCCCAGCCTGGTCGCTCCCCTGGCCATCCTAGCACCTTCTCTCCACCTCTGTCACGTCCAATCAATCCCTCAGCCCGATGAGTATTCTAGAACGCACTCTCTCCTCCTCAGCTCACACTGTAAGGACACTGCTGTCTGGACTCTCCACCACACCCCGCGTGTTGCCGCGGCAGCTCCTCATGCCCCTGAGGCTTGGGGAAAGACACAAGGCGCTCCACACCCTGGTGACCTGCCCAGCGTCTCCCCAAAGCGTTCTTTTAACACCGCCGTATCCACCTGTACTTACGTTTCACAAATATAGAGCCACTTACTTGAAGGAGAAAAAAAACAAAGAAAAAGACAGTTGTTGGTGCCCAGAACCCAACGGTGGGCCTCCCTGGTGCGGGCCAAGATAAAGGAAAAGCCGGAGCGAGGATGACACCCCTCTTTCTGACTTGAGCAACTGTGCAGAACACCATTTAAGTGGATGGTAATGGGGGATGGAGAGCAGGGATGGAGGGGAGCTGACCCCCTGGGACAGCATGACAGTGGGGAGGGGACAAGAATCACAAGCAAGCATTTTCCAGTAGGAGATGACCCGAAGGGCAAGTGTCAGAACTGTGAGAGCCAGCGGCCCCTCACCCCTTGGAAAATCTCAGGGGATCTATGTGCAGATCAGGGTCGTGTAAAATGCTGTCTAAAGATATTTGGAGGGAACGTTTAGAGCATAGAGGAGAAAACTCTTGCTAGGAAATTCCAGAGCACCCTACAAGAATTTTACTCACATGATATGAAAAAGTTACAGACACTCTAAAATTCCAGAAGGCCATGAGAACAATGGGAAGCAAATGAAGGACAACGTACTGATCCTATCTCATCTAGGACTTCTGACTTTACAAAGAGCTTTGCCACGCATCAGTGACTTGCCCCTCGTAAGAATTCTGATTAAGGGGTCACCGTGGAGGGAAAGCTTCCAGAAGGCACACCTGGGGTTTTAAGGAACAGACAGCTTTCTTGCCTTTGGGAAAGGGGCAAAAATGGTTGTGGGATGTGATGCTTCAATTGTTTATTCTGGTATGCCCTAAGCCCTTCTGACACACCACTCGCCAGTAGCTTGCGTGTCACAGGAGGCACGGAAGACACCCAAGACTGTGCATAGCTTCCGCAGGGCAGCCAGGAACAGCTGTGGGGAAGGGAATCCCGCAAACTCAGAGGAGATCCAACATGGCCGACCACTGCACAGGCTGCCAATAGAGAGACTGACCGCCTGCATCCTTGATCCTCTGGCTGTGCGGAAACAGAATTCAAGAGACACCAAGAAGCTGAGGTCCCTTGAAGGGCTCCACTTACCCTTTATTCTTGGTTTGGGACGGTACTGGCTTTCCTGTACCCTATTCTCACCCGCTGCCTGAAGGTGGGAGCCTTCAACTGTCCCAGCAGCCTTGGGCCCCTGACATCACACAGAACGGGCTCACACCCTAGCGGCCGTGGAAAGCCTGTGACCTGCAGCCAAGCCTCCGCTGGCGCAGCCAGGGACCATCCCAGGTGGCAGGTGCGACACCTAGACTAGCGGACAAGATTTTCCCTACTCTCTTACAGAAGCACAGAGAGCTCAGAAACAGGGATCAGCACACTTGCTGTGAACAGGCAGCCAGCATTCCAGCCTCCGCAGGCCAGGCGGTCTCTGCCGGAACCCTCCACCCCGCTGCCGCAGACATGAACCAGCCACAGGGAAGACGCAAGTAAATGGCAGTTGGCTGTGTTGCAATAAAACTTTATTTACAAAAACAGGTGGCAGCCTGAATTTGGCCCATTCAGCTCCTGCTCCAAAAAGCAAACAAGCATAACTTTTCTAAAAAGAAGCTTTGATTTTTTTAAACCCTTCAGACCAATATAATTATCAAACAAAACAAAAAATCTCCACAAAATCTTTCGGACCCTGCGCTATTCTCCTTCCTCACTCCTGACACATAACCTTTTTCTTGGAAGGGATACATAAGGCTCAGTGTACCTTGCTCAGACATAAAAATCTTAGATTTATTAATGATTAACCCGCCTACATGGCAGGGGGAGAAACCAAACCACAGGACCAAGTCGAAAGGGTGTCAGGCCCAAAGGAGGAGTTTCTCCAGTGGCTTCCATTAACACCGCACACGTTCTGCCACTGTGTTCTGTTCCAGTCCCTTCCACTGCACCATGGTCTCTGAGGTACAGAGGTACCACTGATCCCAAAGAGGCAAAGAGCCCCCCTCGGGGGCCCCAGGCTCTATGGAGAGAACAAGGAAGGAATCTGGACTCGGACGAACTGCAGTCCGTTGTTTGTTCCCTGCTCCAATGCCCTGGCAGTCAGATCTGGGGAAGACACAAGCTCTCACAGCCCCCCTCTCCCCATCTGTGTACCCCCACTCCCCACCCCGCACAGAGCTCCCATGTTAATTCCTGAGGTCACGTGTGTGCACGCACTTCAGAAATGTCAGCTACCTTATCCTGAATGAAGAATGCAGAGGCAAACGGTCAATACTAAGCCTGTGCTGAGGCCACTGATTTCTCGCCTCAGTGAGAGAAAGGTTGGGAGCACTGATGACCGAAGACCTTATCAGGTGAGCTGATAGGGACAAAAGACACACTCAAGTCGTACTGGCCACACACACTCTAACTTATCTTGGTGTACTTCTGCAAGAATCTGGAGAAATCACGTACCCATGACTGCCACGTGAATGACCTGATAGAGGAAGCAAGAAACATCTGTACAAACCTACAAAAAAGAAAATGCAATCGTTGAGATCACTGTAGGGAAAACGTGCGGTGCTAGAATTCCAGTCCGGAATCAGAGACCGGGCCTGCGGTCCTGATTCTGCCACTAACTGGACCCGTTTCCTCTTCTGCGAGTGAGTATAATTACACCTGCTGTTGATCCCTAACGAAGGAGGTGAGGGATCAGATGAGAGAATGGAGGGGCGCCTGGGTGGCTCAGGCAGCTGGCATCTGACTCTTGATTTCAGCTCAGGTCATGGTCTGGCGCTTCGTGGGATGGAGCCCTATGCTTAGGATTCTCTTTCTCTCTTTCTCAAAATGAAGAAGTAAACTTTTTAAAAAAGATCAGAGAATGGCTACAAAAGGGCTTTGTGTCATGTTACCATCACCCAGCCCTGCAAATCTCCAAACCGTACTGAAGACACCGTCACGATGACAGCACAATCTTTATTATCGTCAAAACGACAAGCGCATGGGCCCCCGTCCCAGCTGCTCTACTGACAGTGCTCTCGCACACACACACAGCAAATGTATCCGAGGGTTTTTACCACAACCCGTTAGTAAGAGCAGGAGCTAAGAAGCAAGGCATGTAACTAGGGCCTTGGTGACATCAAGTACGTGGCTGATGCTGGTCGCGCAGCAGGTGCAAGCAGATGGGGAGAGGGACGCAAGACAGGCAGTTGCTGCATTCCCTCTGAATATATTTCTAACATTTTAAAAAACGTTTGTTTTTGAGAGGGAGATGGGGCAAGGGTCAGAGAGAGAGAGAGACAGAGAGAGAGAGAGAGAGAGAGAGAGAATCCCAAGCAGGCTCTGCGCCCTCAGCACAGAGCCCAATGCAGGGCTTGAACCCACACACTGAGAGGCCTTGACCTGAGCAGAAAGCAAGAGTCAGGTGCTCAACTGACTGAGCCACGCAGGCGCCCCTAATAGCCTGAACCCGGTGGGAACCGTCACAAAATTAAACAATTTGGGAAAGAAGGGGGCAGTATTTTTAATTTACCTTTAATCTCCAGAAGGTGGTATCCATCCCAGCCCCGAGATTTAGAATTTGACAATGACATTCTGTCTTCCGTAGAAATGCCTTTATAAGCTGACTGACGCCATGGACGCGAGCAAAATATCCTGAGAGACAGAGACAAGCCATCACTCACTGATGATGGAAATAATCCCTGCAAAGCCCACCACACCAGAAGAACAAAACACAACCCTTCTGCCCTGCCATCAGGGGCCGTGATTTATCTGTAGACCTTATGGTAGAAATGACGACTTCCAAAAAAATGATGACTTCCTTTTTTTTTTTTTTTTAAAGCTATTTGAACCAAAATAAGCACAATCTACCTAATGGTTGGATCGACTATCATAAGAAAAATACAATGTCCCCTAATTCTACTTATGAAAGATGTCTTACATCAAAACATCAGATCTAAACGTTCCTCTTGGAAATGTGCTTTTTCATGGCTAAGTGAAAGCTACTCAGATCTGCTAAAACTCAAAATTGTGAGATCATATGGAAAATAATATTGGGGGGAAGTGAGGGCACAGGCAAAGGGCTGCCTAATGCACTGACTTGTTAAGCTCTGGGGAGGGAAGCTGGAACAAAGGAGATGAGAAATAAAGGAGGGACAAAGGAAGATAAAATCAATTGTGTTCTAAAGGCCTGCCACTTAATTTGACATAGGAATTTCACATCTATGGATTCTACTTGTAAATAATTTGAGCTTGTTTTTTAAAGGCCTCTTTCATTTTACTTTTTTTAAAAAAATTTTTTAATGTTTTATTGATTTCTAGGAGAGAGAGAGAGAGACAGCGTGAGCAGGGGAGGGTCAGAGAGAGAGGGAGTGACAGACTCTGAAACAGGCTCCAGGCTCTGAGCTGGCAGTCAGCACAGAGCCCGACGTGGGGCTCGAACCCACGAACTGTGAGATCATGACCTAAGCGAAAGTCGGACGCTTAACCAACTAAGCCACCCAGGTGCCCCTCATTTTACTTTTCTAGTAAATCCTTTTTATTATGGATACAGAACATCATCCACAGTGGACTGGATATTGGAAAAAATTTTAAAGATGCTCCCCGCACGCTCTTTGGGAAGCACTGTCCCACTACAGGGCCCTAGTCTAGTGATGCCAACCCGGGGAGAGGAAGAAGGAAGGAAGGAGGGCTGACATGCTGCCCAGGGCCCCCGGCACACAGGGCACCATGGTGGGGCCTTGCCTCTGCAGCGTTTGTTAGGAAAGTGGCCTCAAGAGCGTGGGACAAGGACTGATGCCTGGTTTCACCCTCAGCTCAGACTAAGTACCCTGTCCTTATTCTCAAGAAGCACCACTTTAAAATTGCTTTGCAATTCTTATAGAAAGTCCCCACAGGATCCATCTTTAGGGCCAAGATTCCTGCACTCACAAGAACTGTGGTCATTTGGCCACTTTCTCAATCTGTCTGAGCCTAAGTCACCCTCCTGTCTCAAATCCTTTCAGTGCCTTGACAGAAATGATTTGCAGAGCCTAATAGGGTCACTATCACTTTCACAAGGCCAAAAATGTAAATCTGTCCGTGAACGGACAGTTTACAGTAAAAGATATATAAATGGCTCTTAAACATATAAAGTTGATTTTGGGGCACCTGGGTGGCTCAGTTGGCTAAGCGTCCGACTCCTGATTTCAGCTCAGGTCACGATCTCATGGTTCAAGGGTCTGAGCCTCACATCGGGCTCTGTGCTGACAGCATAGAGCCTGCTTGGGATTCTCTCTCTCCCTCTCTCTTTGCCTCTCCCCCTACTTGCAAGCATGGGTACACACTCTCTCTCTCTCAAAATAAACATTTTAAAAATATATATTAAAAAATAGTAATAATGATCTTAAGCTTCACCCCAAAATAAGAGGAATATAAAATAAAATTACTGTAAGAGACCATTTTTCATGTATCAGATTAACAAAGATGAAAAGGTTCATAATACACTGTGTTGGTGAGGATGTTGGGAAATAAGCACTCCATATACTACTGGAGAGAGTGAACACTGGAGCTCTCATTTTAAGAGTGAATCCCTCTATTATACGGCTGGCTCTGAAATGGAGACGGGGCCACCCTCCATGGAATGTGGGTGGCTTCTAGAAGGTGGACAAGAAAAGGAAACAGACTCTTCCCTATGGTCTCCAAAAGAAACAGCCCCAAAGACACTCTGACTTAGTAAGACCCATGTTTGACCTCTGACCTTCAGAACGGGAAGATAATAAATTTGTATTATTTAAAAAAAAAAAAAAAAAAAAGAACGAATCCCTAAAACCTGAGGCCTCTCGGCTGATGAGGGGGAACAGGGAGGAGGGAGAGGGTCACTTGCCTCTGTTAATCTTGGGGGCCTTCCTCTCCTTAGACAGCCTTACAAGATGCTGGATGTAGGGGTCATGCCAGTAGCCAATGCTGACTGCAAACCTGGAAGGGATGAAAAGGAGGCGGGTGAGTAGAGGTCAGTAGATTCAGGTTCTCAGGAACCAGGGCAAGGAGGAAAACCGTCTACTTCCAAAGGCCGACAGATTCACGTTTCACACTCAGCACAGATGTAAACAGATGCAGCCATCCACTGTGTGTTCACTTACGCTGCCTCTCACCCTCCCTCAGCGGCCGTGTGTCACCTCTCTGTGTTCTGACGCTAATTCCATTCCCAGGACCCTAGAGAGCAGAGGACCTCACCTCACACCTCACCCAGAAGGCCTGCGGCCATGTATTCACTCCGCAAACTCACTGGCCAGAGCTCTTCAGACACTCTACTCAGCCAGAAATTCTGGGTCCACAGGAAAGGAGATGTAGAATTGTTCTGTAAAACTCACCTGGGACTCCCTAAGTATTTCCCCCGGCTCTGTCATTTCACATCCCTTAAGGAGGTCCTAGCGGGAAAACCAGGAACAAATAAACAGTACAGCTACAGCCTAGACAAAGCCATTGTCGCTTACACTCTCTGGTCTACACTACAACCTGGAAAGTGCTATGGGAACCTAAACGCTCCCCAGGCTACACCACAGGGAATCAAAGTTCTAGTTTCCTTCGCCAGGGATCTGAAGCCCCAATTACCGCTGAAGGTCTTCTGGCAACCACGGGTGGATCCAGCCTTAGGACAAGGACATGTGATGGAAGGAACCTGGATCCTTAAGGCCACACCAAGCCACTGTGGGCCTGGAGCCCGCTCTACCTCTCAACAGACATTTTGAGAGTTTATACATGTCTTTATCATTTAAACCAAATGGAGTCCGGCATCTGTTACTTACACTCTGAAGCATCCTAAGTGATATCCTGAGTGTAGGAGCTCATTTCCATGTTGTTTGATGAATCAGCTGAGAGGGGACAGTGTGTGTGTGTGTGTGTGTGTGTGTGTAATTGTCACCCAGCTAGGGTCTGAGCTCCCAGAAGCAGATATTCTACCTTCTCTTTATATCCACTGACAAGGCTTACTGCTGCCTTGACTGTGATCAGTGCTAATCCTGTACAAACCTGTCCCTTGCCCAGTCTCTCTCATGTCCACGTTCACATTCACACATCCACAGACACCCATAAGGAAGCACATACTTTTGGCTACTCAAGGCAGTAACTCAACACAGAAACACACAAAGTACTCGTTAAGGGACACAATTTGCTATGGGCCCAGACTGTCCAAGTTTTACAAGGGTGAATGGGCTTGGCTGTCTAAAATAGTGCTTTTCAAACAATGAATGATGACTCATCCGTCTCATAAAATCAGTGCTGTCATTTGCAAGTCTTCATCTGTGAAAATGCAGTCGAACAGAGTAAAATAGAAAATATCAGTATGCATTACACACTGTAAGACTGTTTTGTGAAGTTTTTGTGGAAGTGTGTGTTTGGGGCATAAATGCGATGGAAAATCTGTTCTCCAAACAAACAAAAGAGACTCTTAGACACAGAGAGCAAAGTGGTGGTTGCCAGAGGAAATAGGGAGAGGGTGGGAAAAATAGGCAAAGAGGGCTTAAGGGGTATAGACTTCTAGTTCCATAAATAACTCACCAAGATGAAAAGTACAACATAGGGAATACAGTCAATAATATTGTTATAACACAGTATGGTGACAGATGGCAATGACAATTGTGGTGAGCGCTGAGTAATGTGCAGGTTTGTCAAATCACTTTGTTGCACATCTGAAACTAATATAACATTGTATGTCAACTATCTTTCAATAATTAAAGAAAGAAAATGGTTTTTCTTGCTGTTGGTGGGTTAGGGGCGTACTGGCCTCAAAGGAATTATCTAGTGCCATCTAGTGGTAAAGGCCACATCTGCAGTCGAAGCAAGAACCAGACTAGTGATGAGAACACCATCCAAAGGTTGGAGGGGGCCTTAGAAGGGAACTGGTCAACCCTGACATCCACTGCAAGACTCCCTCAGCAACACCAAGAGACTGCCTCACTGTGCACCACAAAGAAGACACTCACTCCAAGGCTCCGCAGCCCTGTCTGCTGAAAGCTGATCAAGTTGCCCCTCTACAAGCTCTGCGTCGGACTTACTACCGCCCTCTCCTGGCTGACAAGGAGAGTTTCCCCTCCTCTCAGCTGTAGTCTCCTTCAATTTCATGCTATTGCTTCAGTCAAGCAATACTTGTTGAGTGTCTGCTACATACCAGGCGTGGGGGATACAGTGGTGAACCAGACACAAAGATAAGTAAGAGCTTCTGACAGATGAAGGACAACAGCATGGAGGATGGATGGCCCTATTTTAGAGAATGTGAGAGGGAAAACCTCGCTGGAAAGGGAATGGGCTGAGTTGGGTCCTTACAGAATTGGAGAAAGCTGTGCAAAAGGCATTCCGGACAGGAGGGCAGCAGACAGACAGCAGGGAGGCTGGAGAACACTGGAGAAACCAGAGAAACCGGAGAGGGAGGTGGAGAGAGAAGCAGGCTCAGGCCACAAAGGGCCTGGTGGGAGCCGGGGAGAGATCTCTGCAGCCGCGTGCAGTGGCCCCAAACCATGGGGAGATGAACAAATGTAACCTATCCAATCCCAGTCCTTAGGACTCTGACTTTCTAATGTTTCCAACATGTGTCTCCTTTCAGTCTTCAGATCTAGAAGTCTGCCAGTGGTTTCTGGGAGGAAAAGGATGTCACTGATCTGCACCTCAGAGTGGCCAACATAAGACAGCACGCTGGTAAGAAGAGGAAGGGTCAAAGGACTGTCGGGCACTGCTCACGGGGAGCTCCAAAGGGAGATGGGCAACCTCTTTCAGAACTTACAAGCTGCCACTGGGAGCTCAGCTGAACACGGTGGATCCATAAAAGGAAATGCTAACCGGTCACCTCAGATTAAACTAGAAGAATCAGACATGCCAAGGTGTTCAAGATACACTGTGAAGGGAAAAAAGTTAGGCCAAAAACATATGTAGCCAACATGCCCGTGAATACGTGTGTGTGTGTGTGTGTATTTACAGACAAGAACTAGGGGACTGGTACCAGAACACTAACAATGATTATCTCAGGGGGCTCTGGGGTGTGTGTGTTTGTGTGTGTGTGTGTGTGTGTGTGTGTGTGTGTGAGTGAACTTATCTCTATGTTTTCAACTTTTTCTTCACTAATTCTATGCCATATTTCATTCTAAGACACCACCAACTGTAAGACTGAAAAAAGAAAGAAGAAACACTGCCAGTTAGTTAGCTTAATGTTTTTCTTACTGCTTAGAATTTTAAGTTTGTGCTTGCTGGAAAAAGCCCACTTATTTACTTGTTTGTTTAATTATTCTGAAAGCAGGCTCTATGCACAACGTGGGGCTTGAACTCACAACCAGATCAAGAGTCGCATGCCCTACTGACTGAGCCATCCAGGCAGCCCTGCAAAAGCCCATGGATGCTTACTTGAACAGATGAAAGGAAATGGATGAATGCAATGAGCTGGTTAAGTCTTCCTTTGTCGGGTATCTGTGAGTTTCCACACAATATTGTCCTTCGTGCTGCCAAGGGCACTGGCAAGGCTGCGTTCCCAAGAGGTCTCCATCATCCTCTCCCAAGATTTCCTTCCATGCTACTGACCCTCCAGATGTAGGTTCTGTTACTGAGCCTTTCTTGATCTCATTAGAAGGTATCAATGGATGGTTCTCAAACAGCAATCAGAATTTGTGCTCCTTCTTCAAATGGCCCCTAAAGAGCAGGTAGACAGAAGCACCCGAGAGCCGTCCAGCCAGGCCCTGAGCGACGATGAGCACATCCACTTGCACAGATAATGACAACTCTAACCCAACTCAGTAGTGACTGCAGGACACATGGAGAATTAATCACAGCTGACGTCAAGAAGCAAGAGCGCGTGTCACAGCAAGGATCGAATACCATACTGCCTTCACCACACAGACAACAGTGAGCTTAGATGTCACAGGCAAACATGGAGGGCAAATATCACGTGAGGAAGACTACCTGTGACATCACAAAGTAGTAACATCCTTAAAATATAAAGGACTTGTAAACCAGTAAGAAGAAAAAATCCTAAAATCCTAGAAGGACAAAAATGAGCAGTTCACAAAAGAGCAAACCGATCACTTAATATACAAAATAAATACCCCCCAAAAAATGTAAAATGAAAGCAGAAACAGCACGCAGTAGATCTTCTATCAAATTAGCAACAAAACCATTTTTTAACAGAACCGGGCTTTGGCAAGTTCCAGCCACCAGAAGTGAAAACTGGCATGGCCGTGCCCCGAGGCACTTCGGCCACTAGTATTCAAGGTCAAAGTTACATATATACAATGAGCACACAATCCCACTTCTAGGATTTTGCCCTCAGGAAATAGGAATGAACACAAAAATGTTTCTCTAAAAACAGTGAACCCGGGGTTACATGTTGGGTGAACAAAGCAGGCTACAAAATTCTATGTACAGAACGTTCCCAATTCTATTAGAGGAATATGTACACTCATGTACACGTGAACACACGAATACATACGGTATATGTATAAAGACTTCCCAGAGGAGACACCCAAATGTGAACCGTGGTCACCTCCACACTATGATACTGTGTGCCCCTATCTGGTGCTGCTGTCTGTCCGTCCCCACTACAGTCCTCTGTTGTCCAAACCCAGAAAACATCCTCTCTCTTTGTATATCCTGACTTCATGTTTAAAATCCAAAGAATCAAAAATCTCAGATTTGGAAAGACCTATTTCACAGTCTTCATTCAATCCCTATTGCTTTTGAAATTTTCACGGCATTCACATACGACCTGTTCATTGTAACATTTCTTTATATCACACACTATTTTATTTTCTTCTAACACACACTATAATAAATACCTAACTATTAAAACTTCAAACATCTGGGGCCACCTAAAGTCATTTCACATTCTTCCCGTGGGAAACGCTGAGCTGGTCCAACCGCCTATTCATTCAAGAAGCATTTACTGACTCTGCCCTACTGGCATGAGTAGCACCTGCAGCAGTGGGAGCCTCACGGGA